GCCCTTTGGGAGCTTGGGGTGGCCGGAGCGGAGCAGTATCCATCCCACCCCACGTGTGGRCACAGACAAGAGCTGGAGATATCTCTTTCCACCGGGAGGGTTAAATTTCTTCCCGGGCGATTGTTCCCGCTCCAGCCCTTGACAAAAGAAGCCGTTCTTGTTTTTAATCCCCAGTTTACGGGCAATTAAGCAGCGGCAAAGGGCRGACAAGTGCTTTCCTCGGCAGAAGGGAAGGAGCCAGCCAGGGTCATTGCTCCAAAGGGGTCTCTCCTTGCAGGGATGTAACAGGGAAAGGGTCTTTTGCGTGTTACGGGGAGCGTTGTGCGTAAAATCTGTTTAATTGTGTAGTTTGGAGCCCTCTCCTGCCAAGCTTTTAAAATATGCATATCTCGGTGAGAGCGCACGGAGGCTCCACYGCCGCCGGGTGGAAGCAGGGCTTGGTTCCCCCTATTTTTAAACGCCTTTAACAAGCGATCTCTGGGTAGGCTGCAAAGCTGGGAGTGCAAACAGGCAAATGGGATTTAAAGGTGACTTATTTTGCCCTTCAGCCTCAGTTCTGCGTGTGCCTGAAAGGAGAGCTCAGTGTCTCAGCATCCTCGTGCCAGGGCGGTCGTATGGGAGCAGGGAAATGTGGAATCTCTGGATATTATATGATTTTTTGTCATGAATTATCTTTAAGATCCCTTCCAACCCAAAGCATTTGATGATTCGGTGGTCGCAGGGTGCTGCGGGCAGGGCATTATCCTGGAATGTCTCACTCTTATGGATCCGGTGCTGCTCYCGTTCACCCTCCCAGCTCTGGGTCCCCCCCACAGCAGGAATGGGGGGGTTTGGCTGGACTTCGGGGGTGTTTTACCCCTGGGGGATGTGCTAAGGACGGGATATTGCTGCCTTTCCCCGTTTCCCGGGGCGCTGCTCGCAGGTCCCGATGGGTGCAGGGTGACACCGGCCCTGTCCCCGTGCCGGGGCGGGAGCTGGGCACTGAGCACGGAGGGACGGAGCCGTGTGCTTCCTTTCCTCGGAAACAGCCCTGGGGCTGGGGACATCACCACAYGAGGAGGATTTTKGGGATATTTTGGGTGCCCCGAGGTGCCTCATCCCAGCTGGGAGTCGCTTGTCCAGCAAAGGAGGGGGTTTCATTTATCTCAAGGGGGTGGTGATTGGGGTTTTCTTAGGTCAGAAGTGAGACTGCAGTGAGGAAGAGAGCCCAGCCCAGCCTTGGGGACGAGCCACCCCCGGCAGGGACACATTCACCGCCAGAGGATCCCTGCAGTCCCAGCCCCATCTCCCCAGCTCCTCCCGGCTCTTGTCCAGCCAAAGCTCTCCCGGTTCTGCTGTGGTTGAGCCTGGGATACAACTGGGACCTTTCCCTGCCCTTCTTTACTCCTCAGACAGGACACTGAGTGCCGGTGTCCCTGTCCCAGGGGCGTTTGTCCCACCTGGCAGCCACCAGTTGCCTCTCCACACTGGAAATGTGTCGGGGSTCGCGCTCTTTGTCACTCAGTGAATCCCAGTTTTTGCTCCTGTGTTCAGTGCCCCACACCACCCTCACRGCTGGAGCCCTTTTATCCCCATTTACGGCCAAACTCAGCCACAAACACAACCCTCCGTGAGCCCCTCTGTGCCTTCCCTTCCKCGATTCAGGTGCTGCTCTGACACCCCCGGGATTCCAGGCTCTGCCTGTGTC